GGCACCCTCTCCCCTATCTTACCCCTAAAGGCAGTGCAAGCAGAGTGGGCCAAGGTGCAGGGCCCAGGTCAGACGGTTCTCAGGCCCCCTCTCTCACTGAGAGCTTCCCACGTGTGGGGCACTTTGTATATAATTGACTGCGACCCTCTGTAGTCAAAGTCATGGAGTCAGAGGGATGAGGTCATCGCTGCTGGTACTCAGCTGCTTAATGATGTGACTGCAGTCTGAGCCTGGGTGCTTTGGCTGAGAACCTGGACTTTTAAAAATTTTTTAAATGTACGTGTGGTAAAATACTCCTTTTGGCACACACCACAGAGGCATCTAGTCACAGAAGCACTGCGCTTGCAGGCAGCACACGAAACCATTCTGTTCCAGACTCCTCTGCCCGTCCCTGGTTGGTCCACCCCTCTTTCCATCCAACCCAACACTGCATGGTTGCCCTCTGCTCCGGTGATCAGACTCCCCAGCCCATCGCGCGGGCGGCACCTGGGCGTGTGGAGCCCCCAAGCCTGGCTGTCCCCTGCCTCCTGCACTTGAGATTGTGTGTGACGTTGTGCGCGAAGTGACTGTGCCTGCTCGCCACTAAGCACAGTAGGCTGTGCCGCAGTCTGTCCATCCACCGTGGGGTGACACTTGAGTTCCTTCCAGATTTCGTCTGTTATAAAGCTGCTCTGAATGTCTGCATACAGGGTTTCATGTGAGCGTAAATTTTATTTTCGATGGATCCCTAAGATTGGGCATTGCTGGTTCTTACAGTGAGTACACATTTAGCTTTATATGAAACCACCAAAGTGATCACTCAGTTTTTCATTCCCGCCAGAACCTATGCTTCTAACTTCAGCGAAAGCAAAGGATCTTACTGAGCCCCGGAGTTCCCTGGGAAGAACTCTGCGCAGTCTGTTTCGGGCCAAAAGCCAGGAGTTTGTGGGACTCACTCCCGAGCTGTGCCGAGGGGCTGCCAAGGTCAGGCTGGGGGCTTGGGGAGCTCCCCAAAGCCAGGCCCTTGAGAATTGTATGCTCATTGGCAGTATTGGCTCTTGCTCCTTCAACAGCCCTTCAGAGTGGTTCTAGAAATTGTGGAATTTCTCCACTTCTCCAGGCTGCTTCCCCAGAGCCGGGAGGCAGGGGACTCCTGTGATGAGGGCTGGTGTCTCCTGTGGGCCCATGCCTCCTGGAGGGCATCTGGGAATCACCCCTGCCCCTGGGCCTCTCAGCCCTGGCCAGGGCCTGCCCACCATGGGCACCTCAAAGGAGCTGCCCCCGCCTCACTTCCCGTAATGCATCTGCTCTGGGCATGGACGGGAGTTCTGCAGATTTGCTCAGCACACTGGTTTATTCAATGTTTTCCGGGCGTCTTCCTGGGTTTTATTATCATTTTTAATGGATAAGTAATTGCAGTGCTGTGACGGTAGTTCACGAAACTGTTTCCCCTGGGTGGACAGTTGAGCAGTTTCTGAACTGCTTTTCTAGATCCTTTCCAGGTCTGCTCTTGTTTTACACATCTTCCCAAGGTGGTTCACACATTATTGTTTCTGTGTAGAAGCAGCGTGAACTTCTGAGGTCACAGTTCTCTCGCGTGATTTGGGGTGCCCATGTAGGGAAGCGGACAGCAGAAGAGCAGCCAGACATTGCCTGCTTGGGGACCCAGGATGGCTGTGGAGGTCTGCTGGTCACCCTTCCCTGGCCTCAGCTCTGTCCCTGTGGGCCCTCGGGTCTCAGCTTCTAGTTGCTTGGGAGTGTAATTTGAGACTTCATCGTATAAAGGCCTTGGGACACAGCCTTGGCTGTGGTTGCTTCTCCACTGCCGCCTCACCCTGGCAAAGGCTGTGGGATGTGTTTCTGTCCATCCAGAGGTGGAGGTTGGGCACATCTTGCTTCTCACTTGGGTCGGGAGACCCAGAGCATACCTGCGGGACCCCTATACTGTCAGTGAAGATGGACCAAGGCCCTGGGCCTCCATGCATCACCCTTGAGAAATCCTGGAGCTTCTCAGCTCCCCTTTCCCTCCTCAGCAGCAGGATGCCCAGAAATAGCACACGGCCCCTCTTCTGCCCGGGAGAGGCCCTTCCCACTGTCCCAATACTCAGAAACAACACACAGCCCCTCCCTTGCCCAGGAGAAGCCCTTCCCACTGTCCCCATACCTAGAAACAGCACACAGCTCCTCCCCTGCCCATGAGAAGCCCTTCCCACTGTCCCACTGTCCTGGCTGTTCCACGGTGCCGAGAGCAGGTTTGAATCAGCAGGACAGGACTGGAGTTCATTAGAGATGGCTGCTTCTGCCCCATTGGGATGCCCGTGGCCCTGTCTGCCCAGTGCAGGCCATGTCAGCCTCTCCTCCCTTGTATGGAGGCCACTTTGTGTGAGCCCGTCAGCACTCCTTCACAAAGCTCAGTGGGTGCTTGGCCCTGTGGGCTGGACTGACCCCACTCCTGTTGCCATGAACTATGGGCAGCAGGCAGGAGGGTCTTGGCCCTGGCAGCCAGGGTTTTGTGGCTCCACAGGCTCCTGGCAAGGGTGGCTGTCAGGACCGAGATCCCGGTGGCCACTCCTTGCTGGCTGCTTTGCCCTGGCAGGACCTGGTGGGGCTGTTAGCGGCTCTTGGCTTCCTGCTCCTCCTGTAGCAACCTTCGTGCCCTCCTGCCCCTCGTGGCCCCAGCCCTCCCTCTCCACAGGCCTTCCCACCTCCTCAGCTGGCCATTCACCAGCAGCCTTGACAGATCCCTGACCAGCTGGGGCGGTGGGGGGATGGAGCTGAGTGTTTGGGGGAAGAGTGAACTAGGGCTTGAGGGACACCTGGCCAGCCAGAGCCAAACGGGTGAGCTACAGGCCCTGCCCCACTCCATGTGTCCTTCACGGAGCTCCCAGCCTCTGTCTAGAGCAGGCACTGTCCCAGAGTCCCAGCGGGCAGGTGAGGCCTGGCCTGGCTGTGAGTCCCGCATGGGGTAAGGTGGTAAAGCCCAGGTTTTCACCTGATCGGCCTGCAATCCTGGCCGACTAGCCAAGCCCCAGGAGCGCATTTGGGCCCTGTAAGCCTGCACCTGGAGCTTCACCCAGGGGTCAGGCATGGGCTGTGCAGGAGCTGCTGCTAGAAGCAGCATGCGTCCCTATGCTCCCCTCCCCCAGCTCTCTGAGAAGGCTGCAGCTTTGGGCTGGGAAGAGTCCTGGCTGAGTCCCCCAGTCCCTGGTCCCTGAAGGCAGAGAGCCCTGCCAAGTGGAGGAAAAGATCTTGGACATTAATTCAGGGCCAGCTTCCCTTCCTCTGCGGCTTTTCCCAGGGCCAGCCCTGTTGGAAACTGCAAGTGTAGACCTTTACATTTCTCCCTGGTGCTCATGCCTTGTGGATGACGCTTACTCATGTTAAGGGAACCCTCTCAGGCCTGTTTACACCTCGCCCAGCCCACCTGCAGTCTCTGAAAACCAGCACGGCACATCCACAGGAGACCACCAGTGCTGCAGGGGGACTACTCCCCAGAGCCTGTGCCTGGGAGAGAGGTCCCCCCACCGCCGCCTGCTGAGCACCATGCAGGCCCAGGAAAGGTGGTGCCTCTCACAGTGGTGCCCCTTGCAGCCTCACTGATGGTGCTTCTCCCTGGCGTGCTCCTCCCTGGCATGCCCCTCCCTGGTGTGCTCCACGCTGCAGTGCTTCTCCTACCCTTCTAGCGGGTCTGAATGCTTGTTCCAGCCAGTTGTACAGCCCTGACTCTGCCACGTTGGCCTCCCTCAGCTGCTTGTCACAAGACCCCCGTGGTTTCTGACAGGGCCCCAGGCGCGGATCTTCCCGAGCTCCACTGTGAATTGCTTCACCCTCTGGTCCTTGGACCCATCCTGACTTGGTGGACTCGACCACTGGAGCTGAGAGTGGGGTGCCCTGGAGAGTGACATCCCCAGGTTTTGGTGACTCAGACTCTGCTGTTCTTACTGGAGATCAGGAGGTTTTTTTAATAAACGTGACCCGATTTGTTGTGCGGCCTCGGTTGGCTTCCAGAGCCCTCAAATGGTTGTTTCTAACCATCCTTCCAGCTTGTCACTGCTCAGGTGGCCTAGGAGCCACACCCCTCGCATGTTTGGTCCTCAGGAGAATTCAAGGAGGCCAGAGGAGGGGGTGTGTTGGGCAGAGGCTACGGCAAGGCTGGTCCTGGGATGCTGCAGGCGCCCTCCACAGACTGCTTTGCCCTTGGTTCATTCCGCTGCTCTCCCACAGCCCACATATCTGTAGTCGCAAGGAGGAGCCCCCCGGCTCATGCATCTTCCTGCTTATGACGTGGGGCAGCTGCCAGGCTGGAGGGATGTCTGTCCTGCTCTCAGCTCTCTACCCACCCTGGATTCCACCCGCCTTGCCCTCTGCTCTCTGATCGGCAGAGCTTATGACACTGGCAGGTCCCTCGGGTGTTTGCTCAGCAGGCTGTGTGGCATGTCAGGCGCAGGCCTCATGGCTGCCGCCTCCCCAGCTGCTATGCTGTTTCTTCTGCATCTCCTCAGCACCCCTCCTGGCCTCGGACGCCTCTGCGACCTCAGAGCATGGGGCCTGGGGCCATGGGACACAGACACCTTGGGGAGTTGCAGGTTCTGGGACAGAAGCGTTTCCAAGGAAGGCAGTTTTCAGGTTGGCTCCACGTCTGCAGCGCTGCTTCCTTGCCCCCTACCCCGCCGTGCTAACGGTCACTGTGGCAGTGGTCACTGAGCGCCTCTGGTCTGCTGAGTGCCGTGTGCTGCTGTAAACGCCACTTGGTTGCAGTTCATGCAGCTCTGACCCTAGGTTCTGTCGTTGGGATTGTCCTTTTGTAGACAAGGAAATTGCAGTTTAGAAAGCACTTGTTGGAGTTGGCCCTGCACCCGCTGGGCTGGACCTGCCCCGAGGAGAGGGAGGAATGTGTTCCCCAGTGTTGAGATGCTGGCTGCCAGGTCCTGTGCTGTGGAACCCCAAGAAGGGTGCCAGGGTTTGGGAAGGGGGCGTTGCAGCAGCGGTGAATTCAAGGGCATTCTTCACTTTTCCCACAGACCTTCTGTTTTCATAAGAACCACATACCAGCCGGGGAAGGAAACCACAGTGAAAACAGTGGCTCAGGGACTTGTGAGAAGGTAAGAAAGCTCTAAGTTGTTGAATAGCAGCAAGTCAGTACCACGGCAGCTCAGTCACAGATTCTAGCAGGATTACAGGTTGGGAAGCTGAGCCTGAGGGGTGGGTGGGAGCTCACCTGGGACACGCAGGAAGAGCTGCTGGTGCTGGGGAGCAGCTGCCGGCCATGTGTCTCCCAAACAGGAGTGGAACAGGGTGAGGAAGGGCATTGTGGCTAGAAAGCTTTCTGCCCTTCCCTTCCGCTGGCCTCTGGTCATTGTCTTTAATTATTTTTAAATTCATACCAAAGGAGGGTTTATGTTGTTTCCTTGTGAAGCCGCAGAATGGGTGAGAACCACAGGTCACAAGAGTGCCTTCCTCTCTGTGGCCAGCCCTGAGTTTCAGGACCTGGTTTTGGTTGGTGGGCCCGGGACGTTTTCAGATCCTTCTAGAGACAACAAAATGACAGTAAGGGAACATTGTAACAACCGTATGCCAATATTGGGCAGGTTCTTTTAAAATACAAATTACCTTAGTGACCCAAGAAGAATTTGAAGCCTCCATCAGTCCTGTAAAGGTTAAAGAAGTTGACTCCAGGCCAGGCGCCCTGGCTCACGCCTTTGCTCCCAGCACTTTGGGAGGCTAAGGCAGGTGGATCACTTGAGGTCAGGAGCTTAAGACCAGCCTGGCCAACATGGTGAGACCCCAGCTCTACTAAAAATACAAAACTTAGCTGGGCATGATGGTGCGCACCTGTAGGCCCAGCTACTTGGGAGGCTGAGGCAGGAGAATCTGAACTCAGGAAGCAGAGGTTGCAGTGAGCCGAGATTGTGCCACTGCACTCCAGCCTGGGCGTGTTAGAGCAAGACTTTATCTCAAAAAAAAAAAAGAAGAAGTTGACTCCATAACTAAAGCCCTTCTACAAGGAGGGCTGCAGGCCTGGCTGGTGTCCCTGGTGTTGCCCCTGAAACATTTAGGGAAGCGGTAACCTCAGCCCTCAGACTGCTCTGGAAAGCTCTGTGTCTGATGGGATGATCATGTCTGATTATGAAATGTGCTTAATCATGTGGCTAAACGCACCAGCAGGATGCACAGCCCTTCCTTGACTAGACTCTGTTTGACCCTAGAAATCCAAGGAACAGCGGCGGCCCCACAAGTGTGCCGGGCCTGGGGCGGCTGAGCTGAGTCTGCACCACTGCGTGTGCAAGGCCATTCATGAGTTTAGCTGCAGTCATGTGTGCTTTGGACCTTTTCCATGGCCTCCTCTGCACATGTGCTGCAGGTGGGGGGTGGCGAGAGAAGAAGGGCAGCAGAGGCCCCATGGGTGGGTCAGTGTGTGGTTAGTGTGTGATGACCATGGGCAACCAGGATGCTTATGGCTCCGGGACCATGGGGATGTGTGGGGGCACTCTATGCGAAAGGAGGGTCTGGGTGTAAGTCCAGGAATCAGAAAGCCATTTTGGATACCACTTAGGCAGAGTCTAAGGCTTTTGTGGACACCTTCCCCAGGGTTCTTCCATCCTGAGTGCTTGGCCCTCTCCGCTCCTCCCCTGCATGGCTGCGGGCATCTTGGCCCCTCCTGTGTGACCGTTGGGTGCCACTCTTGGCTGTGTCCTGCAGCCTCCCCACATGCGCTGAGCCTGTGCTGTAGCCATGCAGCCTGGGCCTAGGGGTCTGGTCTTGGGCTCCAAAGCCTATCTTCTAAGGTGTCCTTGGCTGGCTTCACTCAGCCTACCGTACATGGCGTCACCCGCCGACACACCAGGCCAGCATGTCCCCGTGCTGATCACACTGAATGTGGTCACTTGGTTGAGGTGGGCTTGCTTCGCAGGACTTCCCTGGCAATGCATCCTGTAGGGACGGCTCGTGGGACCTGCAGATGGTGCCTTCCTGCCGCCTCCCACCCAGTGCCTTTGGCGTCTCCTGAATGGGTTCCTGCACGGGGGACTGAAAACAGTGGCTTCTGTGAAGACTCACCATGTCACTTCTCCTCCTCTCCTTTCCTCCCTCTCCCTCCTGCTCTTTGGAGAGTCGCTGTGGACTCATCAGTTTTTCTTCTTTTTTAATTTAATGCATTGTGTGGCCAGTGGGAGCCCCCGCTCCTGCCGCCCCCATCAGTGCCCAGAGCCTCCAGCTCCTCTCAATTTCTGGTGCCCGATGCTCAGTCCCACCACACATCAGCTTTTCTTGGAGGAGCTCTGGCTTCTCTTAGGGCACATGTGACAGCCAATCCTACTGCTACAGAGCCCGTGGCCACAGTGGCTTCCTGTTCCGCCACTCACCAGTGGGTCGTTTTTTACTAAAGTTTCTTTCAAAAAAGAATTTGTAAGCCTATGTTATCATAATAGCTGTTTCTCACCAGCTTTTCTTGCCTTTGCTCCCAATCTGCTACTGACATGCGGGAGGGACATTAAAAGATTGACTTCGGTTTGATACCAGAAATGTCAGTGTGGTGTCACTTTGCACAGCACTGTTCGGGGGGCCTCTGCCAGTGGAATCTGCTCTCATGGCCACCCTGTGGCTCCTGTTACACCAGAGGAGGGCTGCTTGGTGGGGCTGGCTCTGGCAGCGCTGTCTCGGGGCTGCATCTGCATGCGTGTGCATGAGTGTGTGTGCGTGGGTGTGTTCACGTGTGCATGAGTGTGCATGTGCATGAGTGTGTGTGAGTACATGTGTGGGGAATTGCACCTGGGGACTGGGCTCTCCCCTGTACTGATGTGAAAACAAACTCACCTGTCCAAACCCAAAGAATGGACTCAGAGACATGTAGAACAGTGAAAGTGAGGCTTTTCATGACGGTATTGCAGGACTGGGTGTCTGATGGGCAGGCACACCCAGCACGGTCACAAGGAGCAGTTTATCCCCTAGTGCGCAGACCCTTCCCCCATGTCCTCATAGGCTGAGTACTATGGGGGGGGGGTCACCATCTTCCCGGATGTTGCGTATTGGTTGTTGGGTAGAGGCTTTAGGTGTTTTCTTTAGGGTTGTCCTGCTGCATTTTGTTGCAGCCCACAGTGCACTGCAATCCTAGTCAGTTCAGGGGCTCTTCAACTATTTGACTTCTGACCTAAGTGGCTGGGCAGGCTGATAAGAACAGACAAAGCAAGTGATTCAGCAGGATAGTGAACTTTCATCTTAGACTCAACTTCTTTGGTTTAGGTGAAGGCAACTAAGGGTTGGGGGGGATCGTGGGGGAGGCGTATGAGCAGGCAGCGGCCATCCAGGCAGGGGCCTAGCACATCCAGTTTCTTCTGTAGTTTGCTACCCTAAGCCAATCAAGGCACTTTGTCTTGGAAGTACCACTGTATACATTACTTCCTTCACCAAGGACTGATTTGGTAAAGCCAGATATGCGTGACTATGGAGAGCCACGTGCCTGCTGGGCCAGTGTCCACAGTGGGTGGCATCTGACTCGGTGCTGTTTCTCAGGCTGATGTCCTGGGGACAGTCACAGACACCCCCCCACCGGGGGGCTGCCAGAGCCCTGGAGATGTCTCCTGTCCCACTTCCTGCAGGGTGGTGGTGGATACGGTGGTGTGCATCTAGGTCCGAGGGGTGGTTTCTCCAAGGTCATGGCCAGACCCATGACTGACACCTAGGTTCCGGCCTCCACATCAGGGCTGCGGCATGAGCACCGAGAAGGAAGACTGGGATGCCGTGACCCACCACAGAGCTAAGGGGTTCTGTACTGAAGCCAGTGGGGCCCTGCGGACAAAGCATCCGTGTCTCAAGGCTTGCCTTCTGCTAAGGAGGGTACTTCAGGGACCCCTGAGCTCCACAGAGAAGCAGACCCCACTGGGAAAGCAGTGTGATATCCTTTGCGAGGGGCCATGCGTGTGCTGCAGTGTCGGGGCCCGGCAGGGGCTCCGTATTTGTGACTGATATGGCGGTGATTGTGCCAGAGGCAGGAAGCCTCCCTGGGATGCAGTCCAGCCTGTGTGAAGACTGTGCCCCAAATCCCACCTCCAGGGCATGTGGGACCTTCCCTCGTGCCTGTCCGGAGGCTCAGGCTTAGGGACGGACATCAGCTTCCTCAGCAGGCTCCTGGCCAACAGCTGGGGACACAGTACCAAGGGTCTGGGGGGTCTGGTGGTCTAGGAGCCTCTTGGCATCCTGTGGACAGACAGGCAGAAGGGCAGGTAGAACCCTCCCAGCCCCCTCTCTCCTCCAGCTTTGTCCACGTTGCAGTCTGGTCCTGGACTTCACAACTTGCTATAAGGAATGGCCAGGGATGGGTTCCTTCTGCTGGGACAGTTTGTGGGGGCAGGAAGGGCTGTAGAGCAGGGCCCCTCCCTGCCGCCTCCTGAAAACAGGCAGTGTCCTCTGCTCCCCTGTCCCTCTGCATGGCCCAGAGCTGGCATCTGCTGGCTAAGATGGGCCCCGATTGGCCTGGCCCCAAATCTGCTAGGCGGCGTCAGGCAGCGTGGGGGTCTCATAGGGGCCCTGCTAGATGCACAGACACCTGTGGCCACAGCGATGCTGCACACGTGATCATGGGCAGTTTTTCCATTTCCTTCTGTGGGCCTGGGGAAATCTTGGGGGAGGGTGGCTTTCTGGGCAGAGATCCCGCAGTGCTGTGGGGCTTGTTCGGGAACGGATCGGCACGCTCTCCTTGTCCTTCAGCCACTGGCTGCCAGCAAAAGCTGTGGCAGGAACTCACCGAGTTGTGTCTGCCTTATCCCACCTTTTGAGAAGCTTCCTCTGGTGCAGCTGGCTGGTCCTCTGCGGGGCTCTTGCTCTCCTAGTGTTGTTCTGCTCGGCCCTGAAAGTGCCACCCTCACCGATGGCCACTGGAGGGAGCTCCAGAACCGAGCCTGCCCTTGAGGCTGGCTGGAAGCCGGGGACGGCCCTGGAACTGCCTTGGGATCAGAGTGTGTTAAAAGCTCCCTGCACTTTCAATCTTACAGCATGTCCTGAAGAGAGCCTCTGCCTGGGTGTTTTCAATATCCCTGCCCCTTCTCCATGAGATACTGAGCCCTGATCTGCACTGGGGAAGCTCACTCTCTGGCAGGTGCAATTGACTGTGTTGCCATTGCCCCAGCAGGGAGACCACCTCCATTGCTCCCAAAGTCCCCTCACCCCTCCATGGGCCACGCCCTCCAAGACCCGAACCTCCGGTGAAGTGGGTTCTCTGCTCAAGTATCCTGTGCAGCTCCGTGTTTCTGAGGTTCACCCATGTTGTTGTGTGTCCCTGGTCAGCACATGTTGTATGTGTCCCCGGTTGGCTCGTGTTGTTGTGTTCCCCCAAGTTGAACCATGTTGTTGTTCGTGTTCCCCAGTCGGCCCATGGTATTGTGCATGTCCCCAGTCAGCTCTTGGTGTTGTGCATGTCCCCGGTCGGCTCGTGGTGGTGTGCGTGTCCCCGGGGTCGGCCCGTGTTGTTATGCATGTCCCCATCGGCCCGTGTTGCCATGCGTGTCCCCATCGGCCCGTGTTGCCTTTCGTGTCCGCCGTCGGTCTGTGTTGCCCCACGTGTCCCCAGTCAGTCCTTTTCACTGACGAGCAGCATTCCTCCAACGCACAGGCCCCATCTGTTTATCTGTCCACCTGTTGCCATGCAGTTGGGTTGCTCCAGTGTGGAGCTGCAGTGAACACTGTGTACAGTTGTTCCTGTGGACTTCAGTTCCCATTTTTCTTGGGTAAATGTCTAGAACTGGGACAGTGAGAACAGATGTTAACTGTGCTTAATTTTGGAAGTGGTGTACATTTTGCCCTCCTCTCAGTGGCTCAGCTGCACACTTAGTGTATGCCAGTTGCCTGGAGCTGGGCAGGAAGCCAGGCTGTCCAGCCCCAGGTCTGAAGAGGGGCCCCAAGGGGTGCCGTGGCCCCTAGAACAGGATGGGGCCATGATTCCTCCTGCCTTGGGCTTTATTGTTTCTCAGACTGGCACTGGGAAGAACCCTCGTGCCCCAAGGGACTCTGCAGAAAGTGTCCTGTGGTGACTAGGGCAGCACCTGGTTCTTTTCTGCAGGATGTTCAACCCCCCTCAGGGGAGATGCAGGGGAATGGCCGAGGCTATGTCTGCCCCAAGGAGTCCCCCACGCAGGGGCATGTGGTGGGCAGTGGGAGACACAGCAGAACCACTCGCCACTGCTCCCTGCATGAACACCTAAAGTTGGAAACAGCCCCCACGTTCAGCAGCAGCAGAGTGGACGAATGAATTGTGACACAGAACCCACAGGACGTGGGACGTGGGAAAGTGATGTGCACCGCAGGAGCAGCACAGGAAGCCCGTTTCTCCAGAGCATGCAATCAGTCGCAGAGTGAGGAAGAGAGCCGAGGCCACTGGTGAGCAGAGGGAAAGCCAGCCACCAGCCTCTGCCCAATCCTTGTTCTGGCCTCAGGACACCTCCCGTGTCTTTGCTGTCTGGGGAGAGCGTCTCGTGAAAACCCTAGATGCACCCAGGCTCAGCTGGCAGCGTCAGGGCTGTGTTCATTTTGTGGTCCCTTAGCAAGTCGAGGTGGCTGAGCAGGATAGGGCGTGGGTCTGTGAGTTATGCCGGGAGACACAGGATGGAGGAGCCCAGAGAGAACAGAAGGGGCGGGTCAGGTGCGCTCACATGCTCAGCAAAGCCAGGCAAGCTCAGAGTGATTCTCTATGGGTTAGGGTTAGGGTTAGGGTTCTGATTGGTGTTTAATGGGCATGTTCACATTATGCTTTCTCCCTAGATACTGTGGTCTTTCTTCACTTCCCAAACTGACGGTGTTGCCAGGCGGGCCCTGTTGCCAGGTGGAGGCAGGATTGTGGGCTCTTATCTCTGCTGGAAGCCTCGGGAGGCCGCAGGGCACCCCAACACTCCATTTTGTCCTCAAGGCCACAGAAGCCCTTAGGGGTGTAATCAATAGTGATTTGATTCTTTTTATTCTGGGAGGAGGAATGCCTCTGCGTGGTTAGGCCTTTTTCTTCTGCCTACCTGGCTGACTCCTCTCATGCGCAGCTGACGCACTTCCTCCTCTACTGTTTGAGACACATGGAGATGCAGTTCGCCTGCCAGGTGTGTGTGGAGTGGAACCACTCCCGGGTGATTGGTTGGACAGAATTTCTGTAAAGAGAATCTATGGAGGAATATCTTAAGTATTAAAACATATAATTTGAGGGAAAATAACCAGTTTTATGGTATTTTCTGTGCTGTTTTCTTTCATTTTGTAGGGGGATGGGGTCTCACCCTATTGCCCAGGCTGGAGTGCAATGACACAATCACAGCTTACTGCAACCTCTACCTCCTGGGCTCAAGCCATTCTCTCGCCTCAGCCTCCCAAAGTGATGGGACCACAGACGTGAGCCACCTCACCCGTCTGTTGGTTTTCTGATGTACGTCACACATCTGCAGAAAAGCACATTGCAAGAATTTTGAAATTGACTAATAAGTATCAAATAATTTAATAGTCTTCTACAGTTTCTTCCTTTTCATATTCACAGATCTTCAGGCAAACAGGTGTGGCCATGGGGGAGGACTGAGCTGCTGAGCGGTCAGAGGGTGCCCACATCTCCCTGGGTTTGAGGCCTCAACATGCAGCGTAACCCTCAGTCTATTCCTGGTTTTCTTCTGTCATGTGCTGTGTATAAAAGATGTGTGTAGATTTCCTAATCTCTCTGCCACAACTCACAATAGATCCAGCTTCCTGCAACAACTGTCACACCTTTAACGAAGCAAATTCATGACTAAACTCCTTTCCTGAAATCTTATGTAATGAAGCACGGCAAGGCTTTTTTGTCGATAAACAAAAATAAGATGAATTATGTTGAACTATAGTAGTCAAGAAGTATTGGTAGCAACATTACTGACCCTGGGACGTCAAACGCTGAAAAAGTCTCGTCCTGGTATCTCACAGGTGTGGGAAGAATTAGGGAGTTGGGCAGACAGCTACGTGACTTTTTATAAGTAACACCTTTTTCTCCCCCAGGTGGCTTCAGTTCTTGTGTCCTGTGTGCAATGAGGTGAAGGCCTTGGAAATCACTCGGTAGGCAGGAGGCACAGGAGGTGCTGAATCTTCCCACACGAAGGCAGCACAGAATATAGGCAAGCAGATGTCTCAGGAAACATCAGCAACACAGCTCTTGGGAAGCAACCACAGAGGCTGGCAGGGTCTGGGGATGCGGACAGAGGCTTCAGTGCACAGTGGAGGGTCTCAGGCGGCAGAGGCTGCAGGGTCTGGGGGGTGAGGACGGAGGCTTCAGTGCACAGTGGAGGGTCTCAGATGTCAGAGGCTGCAAGGTCTGGGGGTGAGGACGGAGGCTTCGGTGCACAGTGGAGAGTCTCAGGTGGCAGAGGCTGCAGGGTCTGGGGGTGAGGATGGAGGCTTTAGTGCACAGTGAAAGGTCTCAGGTGTCAGAGGCTGCAGGGTGTGGGGGTGAGGACAGAGGCTTCAGCGCACAGTGGAGGGTCTCAGGCGGCAGAGGCTGTAGGGTCTGGGGGTGAGGACGGAGGCCTCAGCGCGCAGTGGAGGGTCTCAGGCGGCAGAGGCTGTGGGGTCTGGGGATGAGGAGGGGACTGGCTGGGTAGGGGTGAGGGGAGGCTATGATGTGTAGCAAAGGATCTCAGGTAGCAGACGGGGGTCTGCACTGGAGGCTTGTGCCTGCCCTGTGTGTGGCCCACCAAGAAAAGCTGACCAGGCTATGGGGTGTCCCTGGGGCCTCTCTACTTAGCCGCCCAACAGGGGTATGAATGCAGGCCAGGCTCGCCAACAGACCCGCAGAAATGAGCCATTTTGCACCCAGAGCCACCGATAAATTGCAATGAAGTGATTTTAGGCCCCTTCCGCCTTTGGGAAGGACTGGTTGGATGGGGTAATTCCCCAGCAGAGGCAGCCCAGCACCACCCTCACCTGTGCTGTGGGGTCTGCCCCTCTCCCAGGAGCTTAGCCTGGAGCCAAGGGGGCTGGAGCGTATCTGCCAGGAAGGGGTCTCCTGGTTTACGCACAGATACCCCACCCTGCAGAGCCAGGCTGCACAGGGAGGAGGGTTGGGGTGACTCAGCGCCAGCTGCCGGGCAGGGTTCTGTGGGTGCTGTGACCGTTTCCTCATTGGATGCCAGGGTTTCCACGCAGGCATGGAGATGGGAAGCCCGGGACCATCAGAGATGGCGGCCCTTCCATCCGCTCCGGCTCCAGAGGGAGTGGAAAGGAGGTCAGGCCTGCGGCTTTAAAGGTCCACATGTGATCCTGACACATCTGAAGGAAAACACTGACAGAAGCAGCTCAGAAAACTCTTTTCTGATCCTGCAGCTTAGGAGTCTGTCCTGCGAGTCTCAGTCCCAGCAGGAGTTGCCTGCAGCCGCACGTCCTCACCAGGCCAACTCTGACCCACTCGCAGCACATGAAAAATAATGCCAGTGACCTCATGGCTGAAGTCCCAGGAGACTGGGACCAGAGCGTGACGTCCCACATCGATGGGGCCAAACTGCAGCTCCTGGCCTGCTGTCCCTGGGGCTGGGCATACTCAGAATTCCAGCGGGCTCAGGTTGTGGGGACGAAGTGTGCCCTGGGTGTCCACAGAACACCGGAGCGTGGAGCACCCCCACAGCCACGCCGACTTTTCTCCAGAAGGGTGGGGTCCGCATGGACATGCAGCCCTCACATCTCTTCAGGTCAGGGATTGCTGCTGCATTAATTTGCTGCAGACTTTGGGGAACATCTTCCTGTTTTCAGAACTTTCTGGGGTTTTAGAATTGGGGATAGAGGATTGTGGGCCTAGAAAATCGTGTAGAGGCGAACAGATGGTGTGGAGGAATGGGGGCTTTTCTCATGGCCACATTTTAAAGTAGATGATTTACAGAACACCAGTGGGTGGAAGGTCTCGAGTGAGGTTGAGGAGGGACAATGGCCCCTGACTACAGACCCATGCACCCAAGTGAAACAGGCCAGTCTGGGCCCCAGCTGAGGATGCGAGGGCCGCGGAGATGCAGATGCTGCTCCCAGGTGCCTTGAGAGCTGGCCTCAGGTTCTTCCCTGTCCCTCCCGCTGGACTGCATGCCACACAGCCTCCAGCCCTGTGTCCCCAGCAGTGAGGGGACCCGTCAGCTCTGGTATTCAGCCAGAAATCCTAACACCTTTCTTTCTTTTATTGATAGTCTTTAGTTTTGTGCACACTTTGGGAAGTTGATTTAGAAGGACAGATTCATACTGAGAAAACCTCAGCTGATGTTATCTGTGGGGTCTGGAGAGGGTGTCAGGGACACGTGGTGGCTGGGGAGAGCACGTCACTGCTACTGGATGGCTCTGTTTAACACCAGCCATGTCTCCGAGTCTCAGGCACTTCTGTAAAATATTCTCAGAATCCTGTGGTGACCGCGACACACCTGACAGGCCCAGCCAGCACCATGTCGCCCACTGGTGGGGCCCAGTCACCCTGGTCTGCTGGCATTCTTTCATGGGGTTTCCTTGATTTTCATACTTGTCATTTTTCTAGAAAACATCTCTTTTTATAAAACAAATGAGGGGCAACCAAGTGTTTTGACCACAGAGTATAAATACTGGCTTTAGGCTTTCATCACTTCATTGACAGAGTGAATGCTGTGGGGCTGAAGGCGAGGAGGCTTTTGCAGACGTGGACCTTGCACCGTGTGTTCAGGAGACGCACAGGCCTCAGGGAGACTCACACCAGGCGCCAGCCACTAGGGACAGCACAGCCTTGGCCCAAGAGTGGCCTTTGTGGGAAAAATAAAATTTCAAGAAAAACACCCTTCATATTTCTCTTGTAGCAGCTTATCTTCTGGGAAGGACATAGGGGCTGTCCAGGGTAGCAAAGTGCTCTGCGTCCACCAGTGCCACCTCCTCCCGGGAAGGCTGGGCCTACATCAGCATCTGCTGCACCCCTGCATGGGAAGGCTGGGCCTACATCACCACCTGCTGCATTCCCACGTGGGAGGGCTGGGCCTACATCACTGCCTGCTGCATTCCCGCGTGGGAGGGCCAGGCCACCTGCACTAGCACCTGCTGTACCCCCGTGTGGGAGGGCCGGGCTGCCTACATCATCACCTGTTGCACCCCACGTGGGAGGGCTGGGCCTACGTCACTGCCTGCTGCATTCCCGCGTGGGAGGGCCAGGCCACCTAAGCCAGCACCCCCATTTTGGAGGGCTGGGCCGCCTACATCACCACCTGTTGCACCCCCGCATGGGAGGGCTGGGCTTGGCCGCCTAAGTCAGTACCTGCTGCACCCCCATGTGGGAGGGCCGGCCGCCTAGGCCAGCACCTGCTGCATCCCCACGTGGGAGGGCTGGGCCGCCTAGGCCAGCACCTGCTGCACCCCCGCATGGTCCGGGGAGCAGTGCCGGTTCCCCCAAGGCAGCTTCTTCATCAGCCGCCGGAGCTTGACAGGGAAGCTCTGGTTCATGTAGCGGTAGAGAAGAGGCGTCACAAAGCTGCTGCAGAAGGCCAGGAGTTTGGACACATCCTTTGCAAAGTCCACCAGCCCCAGGTAGTGGGCATCCATAGGCTTCCCTAGTGAGACAAAGACCGTGCACCCCAGCAGGGTCAGGTAGTGCGGTGTCCAGAGCCCAAACTGCGTGCATACGGTGGCCACCAGCAGCCTGTGTGCCGAGGGCTCCAGCCGGCCCTCGTCCCGGTCCAGGGGTGTGTCCTCCCTGTGGACACGGGAGAGCAGCACCAGCGCGTAGAGGGCAGCCAGCGCCGGCACCGCATAGCCGATGAACACCAGCATGGCGTCAGCAGCCTCAGTGTTCTGCATCTTGGCGCACTCCAGTGCACGGGCGGACACGTGGCTGCAGATGTAGAATAGCAGCGAGGAGAAGCTGGTCAGCAGCGCCCCGCCCCACACAAAGCCGCACACATGCCTTGTGTTGTACACACTGGCCATGTAGGTCCGTGGCAGCACGCGCTCAATGTAGTGGTCGAGGCTCAGAAGGGCGGTGGAGTACATGGCCACCAGTGAGGACACATTGAAGGGGATCTGGAGCGCCACATGGACCTCGCTGCCCACACTCCACAGTGGCCACTGGGAGTCCCGGCACACTCGCCGGGAGCTCAGGGGGCTCAGCAGGTGCACAGGGGCCAGGGTGCTGAGCACCAGCCCCGCCACCGCCATGTTGATGAAGTACACATCTGGCATGGTCATGCTGGCCTTGCTGTGTAGGTTGGCCAGCACCAGCAGGGCATTATAGCACAGGCCCACCGGCACACCCACCAGCAAGCCCAGCAGTGACAGCACCAGCAGCACCAGCTGCAGGTCCTGGCAGGCAGGCAGCTCCTCCACCAGTCCTGTGCCATTGAGCCAGCTGCAGCCCCACATGGCAGCCAGCAGGGCTCCACAACCCTGCAGAAAGAAGGAACAGGAGGTCAGCACACGTCCCCTCCCAGGACCCTGGCCCATAATTACTACAGGTGCAGGGGCACCTTCTCCTGGCACAGGAACCCTGGAGACTACAGCAAGGCTGCCTCGAGTACATTTCTGTGAAAATGAAGGTGACCACTGAAAAATGGCCACCTCAGGTCCTGACCAGGGGTTCTATGGCTGCACTCACTTCAATTCCTGGGGGTGGGGACCAGAGAGGGAGCCTGGCACAGCCCACAGGCTCAGAGCCCACTTCCCGTGGGCTGCTATGAGGCCAGGATGGTTGTCCTGACTTTGTTGGACAGGCCCTGTGTGGTGATTCCCGAAGTTTATCAGGTGCCTGTGGGTGTTCAGATCCTGCCAAGCGCCATGAGGGACAGGCAGTGTGGATGGTCAACCCTGGGCCTCCTTCCCTTCCAGTAGCCCAGGACCTGGTACCTTGGAGTCCTCACAGAGCCTGGGTTCCAGGGAGGGTGGCCTGTGGGTCAAAGCCCACAGAAGGCTCGGTGACCCAGCTGGTCTTGACGTCACTGAATGAGAACCTGGCGGGTGGAGCCATCATAGAGAAAGAATTCCCTACCCTCCAAAGCATGGGTATTCCTCAGGGACCTATAACTGTCTCAGGAAACCTGATGTCCAGCACATAGTTTGGCCCTGGCTGACTTCCTGCTCTCAGAGTGGAGTAGAAAGTATCTCAGGCAGATGGGCAGACAGTGGCGTTGTATGCCCAGAGATAGGAGTGGCACCGAGGCTGCATTTGGGAGCTTCGGCTACGAGAGTGGGTCCTCACCCGCCATCCGACTCCTGCCACCACAAGACCCACAGGACCACAGCAGGACAGGAACAGGAAGCTTGGGAGGAGAAGAGCACAGAGGGGCTAGGGCCTGAGGCCCCCAGTGCCAGCAGCAGTGTGCGCCCTGCAGCAGGTGATGCAGCCTCAGGGCCAGGCATGTAGGCAGCCGGCAGATGGGCGGGTAGATGATGTGGGAATTCCCATCCAGATGCAGGTGGGCAGGACAGGAGTTGTGGGTCATTGTGCAATCCTGACAAATGCTGCCCAGCAGCCCATAGTGAGGGTCAGGTGGTAACAGGCATGCAGAGCAAGGTCACTGCTGGGTGTGCCCAGCCACAGTGCCGCCAAGCACTCCCGGGTCCTGAACCCCCGGCCCCAGCCCCTCACTAACACATCTTGACCAGAACCACCTGGGCTCAACTTGCCAGGCCAGCACAAGCTCCAGACAGGATGCACCTGCTCCCAGCACAGCAGCCGGGGGGCGTCCAGGCCTCTGCAGCCTTCTCCCCTCCTGCTGTACCAGGGTCCAGAGGACAGGGGTGTTGGGGATGTGTGGTCCCCCTCACCCTGCTCCTGCCTTCGAGGCTGCATGGCTTTAGCTGTCACAGGGCTGAGTGGGAGCCCAGTTTGGGAACGTCACCCCCCAGATGCCACTTGAGTCCCCAGTAAACACCAGCCACTGAGCTGGGTGTCAGTGTCCTGGCCTGGCTTCACAGGGCACCCAGGGACCCAGGAACTGTCCAAGGTCTGTGGTGAGAAGATCGGAGCAAGAGGGACTTCTCGCCATGTGCCACCTCCAACCACCAACAGGAGGCTGCAGCCCATCTGGCTGCCTTCACCCTGCAGAGCTTGCCAAGGGCTGGGACCCTTCAGTGTGCTCCGTCTGGGTATCCCTTCACTCCCCACTTACAGATGCTGGCCGGTGGTGCTGCACAGAGCCCCCCGTATCCTCTCTCAGGCTCTCACCTTTACTTGGTGGCCCACACTTCTTGGCACTGTGGGTCCTGGCCACTGTTGGCTAGCAGCATGGTGGGATAGAGGCGGCCACCATGGTGAGGACTTGCACCACTGCGCTTCTTGGCAAACCCGTGGCTCTTATCAGCAGTGCGCCTGGCCTCCTGCGCATGCGTGCAAGCCAGGGCCCCAGGATGCGAGCACTTGTTTTCCTCTGAGTACCCCACAAGGCCTCTGCCTCCCTTGGCAGGCACCACCGCCCCTCCCTCCTGCTGTTTACTGCCGGGTTCCAGAAACCAGGGGCTGAACTGAGCATAGCTGGCCTCTGGCCCCACCATTCTGACAGCCCGGCTCCTGGGGGCCGTGGCCTCTCCCTGCAGGCCCCTGTCTGCATCTCTGCAGGCTGTCCCACCAAGCGCCCAGGGGAAGGTCAGGCCTAGACTTGTCCAGGTGCAGGCAGCTGCCCTGGTGCTGTGTGCCGGAGACATTGGTTACAAGCCCTTTTCTTCCCCTGAGAAAATCAACGAAGGGTCTACTGTAGAGCAAAGGCCGGGCTGCACTCACTCAGCCCACAGAACGCAGAGGTTCTCAGGGGTACAGCGGAGGTGGGGGGCAGGCTCAAATCGGAAGCAGAGATGGGAGCGCGTGCATCCGGCATGTCTGTGCATAGATGGGATATGGCACGGCTGGAGAGAAGTTGAGCCGGCCCCATGCATGAGCCTCCTGCAAGGGATGCCTCTACAGAGCTCTCCTGCAGGTGGAACCACTCGGGCCAGCCTGTGGCCTGCCACGCCCCCTCCTCTTGGGGAGTCAGAGAAGCTGCCTGGACTGCTAATGCCTGCCCCACTGTCAGCCGAGCCGGAGGGAGACGGCCAGCGTCCAGCCTCTGCCGGGCTGAGAATGGCTCGATTCTTGGGAGGGTGTCACGTGGAGCGGGAGCTGCTGGCATTTCCTCCATGCACTCACGTGCGTCACGTTTGCCATCTGAGCCGCTCTCCACTGCGTACTCTCACCCCAGCCGGGACCTGGAAACGCCAGCTGGGCTCTCGGGTGGGGTCAGGTGGAAAGCTCTCTTGCATGCATTTTTATTTACTGGCAGCTGATGGATACTGAAGGATTTATACACTTCAAAGCTGCAGGTTGTTCTCTGTGCAGTTCACTAGGTATCAACCACAAAGATAATTTCTGTTTCCAAGGAAGGTTATGAGCTGAGCAGCACCTGTTTTCCTTCCCTTTCCGTCGGTTGGAAGGTGACACGCTTTGCGTGTTTGCCCCGCCATTCTCCCCAGGGCCCTCTTTTTTACCAGGCATTACCTAGAGATCTTCAGAGGGAAGCCAGCTGGGGGTGGGCGTTCCTAGACCCAAGGAGGCAGGCTCCTGCCTATGTCAGGAGCTGGGCTGAGAGGCATAGAAGGAAGAGTCTGAGGAAACTCTCTCCTTGGCCACACTGGGTGGATGAGTCTCTGTAGCCCGCCTTGTCTCTGGCGGGGCGCCTGGGGAATGTGGCTCTGTGGCCTGCCTCCTCTCTGGCCAGGCAGGAACAGGGGTCCCTGGGAGTGCCTGTGGGAGCCGGTTTGAGTCTCTTGCCTGTGGGTTCCTAGCCATGGCTCCTAGAGGAGTGAGCATGAGGTGCAGGTTTTGAAGGCTGGGAGCAGCAGGCAGCGCCCCCAGAACCACAGCATGCCAGGACCCAGCAAGTCGTGTGAGCCAGTGTTCCCGCCTCTCCTGGTCACAGGTGACTCGTGACACATGCCCAACCCTTGCAGCCAGGCCAGCTCCCTGTCACTGAGCTGTTCTGGGCACTCTGGCAGGGGTCCTGTCCTGCCCAGGGTTCTAGGCGCTACCCTGCATGCATCCAAGTGAGGGGGATGGCCTGGCCCCACGCACCTGCCTGGCCACAGCGGGGTTCTGTGGGAGCCTGGCCTGGCCCGGGCGGGTGGAGCCTCCCACTCCTTGCCTGTTCATGGTCCCCTGCTTGCCTCTGTGCACCCCGTTTGCTTCTATACTCCCCGCTTGCCTCTGTGCCCAGAGACTTCCTGTTCCCACTGCCAGACTGTTTGGGGAAGCAGGGCATCCTGGAACTGAAGAACAATGGCCTGGCTTCTCCCCCCGCTGGGCAGGCCCCGCTGTGCTGTCTTTCCCGTCAGCCACACGCTCTGCTGACTTCCTCCATGGGAAAGAGGAACTGGGAGCCAGGTGGTGGGAGACTTAGAGGCTGGGGTAGAAAGCCCAGATGTGCCTTGTCAGAAGTGGGCCTACGTGAAAGCCTGAGTTTATTGCAGTGATGGAAGATTCCAGAGGCTCCCTCCTCAGGAGGCAGGAGAGACAACAGAGAATGGCCACCTGCCCCCCACCCCTGTGCTGTGGGTCCCTCCAAAGCCAGGTTCAAGGTGCAGAGCTGGCTGGCACATGCCCTCCCGTCATCTGTTTCTTTCTGAGCACTGCCTGCCTGGTGGCAGAGCTGATACTCAGCTTCCGGGGACTGCCACTGCACCCTCAGCCAACAGGGACCCCGTGGGCCTCTCCTCCAGGCCAGCCCACTCTTGCAGTGAGAGACCACCAGCTTCTCCCCCAGCTCCTGGCCCCCCTCCCAGGCCAGCCTGTCCTGGCAGCTGCTCCTTCCTGGCTCCCCACCCGCTTCTCCAGGCCCTGCTCCTCCAGCACCTCCAAAGCCACACTGCTGGTTCGACCACCTGCCTCCCATTCTTACCACCACCAGCCTCTCCTCCCGAAACCCTCCCCCACAACTCCTCAGGACCTGGCACCCATATGCAGGTCCTGCCCCAGGCCCACATCAGTGCCAGCATGAACAGCCCCAAGGCCCTCTCCCAGGCAGGCACCCAGAACCAGGCCCTTCCCAAGCAAGTGTCCGCAGCCAAGCTGGATGCTGGGGTCAGCCTCGCCTCTCAAGAGGGCACGCCTTGATTCAGGCTCCTGCTCAGAGGCTCCTCATGCACTCGGCCTGGAGCAGCCCTCAGGGCCTCTTAGGGACAGGGACACATCTCAGGCCAGGAGGGGAGGGGCTGGGAAGGTGGAAGGAGCTGGCCCTGCCTGGGCCTTGGCTGTCCAATATGGCCCAGTTTCAATCATTTTATTTTCCCTATAAGAGAATTCATTAATGACACAAATGCAATTCATCTATCCCCTCCTTCTGCTTTTTTGTTGTTGTTCTTTAGTTTTTGTTTGTTTGTTGTTTTTTGTTTTTTTGAGCCAGGCTCTCTCTTAGTCACCCAAGCTAGAGTGAGCTCATTCCTAATGCGTGCTCTTGAGGATAGAAGTTGGGGTCTTTTTTTCCAAGACCCCATGCTGGGCTCCGACTGTGATGTCCCAGGAAGATGTGTCCTGGGCTGCGGCTTTCCAAGCCCAGGGAGGCTGCTGGGCTGGCACGCTTCCTTGCAGGCTGTCTTGTGTCCGTCCACCTGCACTGGAGAGCAGGGATACTGCTTGCAGGGCATCAGCTCAGAAAAGGTGCCCCAGGCTCAGGGCTTGGAGAAGCTGGGGCAGCTTGAGAAAAGAAAACCAAAGAATGTCGGACTCCAAGGCCACAGGGACTGATGGGACAGGATTCCTGGTTGGCTTGGGCAGCCTGTCTGGGCACCTGTTCTTGTTGACTTGGAAGTCCACGGATACGCCTGATGCAGGTGGATGGCTCCCTGCCCTGCTCTGAGCCTGAGCAAATGCCCTGGGGATCTATTCTGTCGCTGATCTAAACCACAGCCCCTGAATGTGTCCAGCTACCTGGAGAGCCCCTGACGGATGGCCTGTGACCCTGAGCCACTGTGCCTGAGGAGTACCTGCCCACCGGTGGGGGCGCAGGCAGGCTGGGGAAGGACAGGTTGGCCAGCAATTCCTGTGCTTGTGCCCTTGCATGGCCCAAGCCTGCAGCCCTGTGCTGACAGCAGGTCCCTCACTGCAGAAGATTCTGTGCTTGTGGTTCAGAGTGGGGCCCACCGGGAGAGTCTTGCTGAGGCCTGGCTGGCCACAGAGACTGGGGAGGCCCTGCATGTCCTGAGCTTTGGGAGTTGCAGTGTGGGGCAGCTCTCCTTAACTGTCGGGGTGGCTGGTGGCTACTGCCGGGCCTGGCTGGTGGGAGGGAATCGGGAGGGCCCAAGTGTATAGTTTCAGCTGTCCCTGCCAAGGGCTTATCGCACGGAGACCTTGGTGGCTTCTTTGTCATAGAACTCAGTACAGTGGGGCCCAAAATTAGACCAAAAAGTCCTAAATCAGTTTTCCTACATTGAGAAAGCAGCACTGATTCTAGACACTGCCTTGACTGCTGGCCTAAGTCCTCCTACCTGACACAAGGGAGTGTTTGACGGGGCTTTGTAATAAGCCTGCTTTTAGGAAGGTCCACGTCCTGCCATCTGCAGGGGTCTGGGCTAGTGGCAGATGGCAGTATGAGCTGGCATAAAACACTATTAAGAAACCCCCCTGCCCTCCTTCCTCCTGGGAAGGAAATGGTCAGGGTCCTGGGCTCTGGAGTGGGCAGCCAACGTTTGCACTCCAGGCTGAGCTTTTCCAGTCCTGGCTTGCATGCGGGTGCCTTTGCAGGCAGGTGACTTCCTTGCTCTATGCCTTGGTTTCCCCAGGCTTAGGAAATCCTCATGAGACAAGAGGGTTAAATGAACCAACACATGTGAAGCACAGGAGGGTGCCGGCGTGCTCCCCATCACCAGCCCTGGCCTGGGATGATGATGCCCGCAGATCTGTAGCCTCCTCCCAAATATGAAGGGCAGAGGAAGCCGTTCTGTGACCTTTTGCTCAGAATCTTTGTGAACGGACACGTGTTGCAGGGGAACCATGGGATAGGGCAAGGTGACAACAATATGGGCCCCGTCACACCCCACACTGCCAGTGAATGTGGAGGAGGCAGCCCTCAGGACACACCCTATGGGTGGCACTCACCCTGGAGCTTACAGTCAGACCATGGAGGCTCAAGAGAATGCACAGTCAGACGGCGGAGGCCCAGGGAGTTTACAGTCAGACTGTGGAGGCCCGGGGAACGCACAGTCAGACCACAGAGGCCCGGGAAGTGCACAGTCAGACCGCGTAGGCCCGGGGAGCTTACAGTCAGACTCTGGAGGCCCAGGGAATGCACAGTCAGACCACAGAGGCCCAGGGAGTACATGGTCAGACTGGGGAGGCCCAGGCAGCATACCGCAGTCAGGCTGCAGTGTACTGCTGGCTTTACAGGGTTTTACGGTCTTTATGTTCTGGGTTCGGGCTTTGGTACCAACACAGTGAATTTCCCGATGTTTCACTAGTACTAAACTGGAGTAGAAACATTCGCTTCCCTGGTCTATATTCACCGTTTTCAAAGAAATATGGATTGGCAAGGAGACCCTGCTTCAGGGGTCTTGGTTCTTTTCGGTTCATAACCATGAAAATGTCTTGAGCCCAGGTGCGGCTGTGGATGGGTGACGGGAGCCCATCAGGCTAGCTATCAGGAGTATTTCACATGCAGTGTTGGCATCTTTCTTCCTATGTCTTATTTAAAAAGGGCCCAAAGTGCAATTAAGCAGCTGTTAATCATGAATCAAGTCCGTGAAGAGTGAGGTGAACTTTGCTGAAACCAACAGCTAACTGATAGGGTTTCCCAATAGAAATGGGCTTCCCTGTGAGGTTCAGAAGCAGCAGGCCTGGAGACAGACAGGGACTGGGTATGGGGACAGTGACCACCTCCGTCACTGTCCTGTACATGTGTGTGAGAGAGCATGCAATAGCTCTTGCGCTAAACAGAGCTGGCAGAAACAGAAGCCAGTGGTGGCCTCCTCTGCACCACGGTGACTGAATTTGTTTCACTAACACCATGGCATTTTATTTTCCTGTCTCTCTTAGTCAGGAAGTTCTGTCCTCTGTTGCTCAGGGCCCTGTCAGAGGTGGGGCTGCAGGTCTCATGCCTGCAGCTTCCAGCTGCCTTTCCACACTGTATTTGGCATGTGTTGATCCCTTACCTAGAACACCCTTTCTTGCTTCCCCTCGTTCTCTCAGCAAACACTAACTTGTCCTGGACATGTTATTTTGGGCATAAATACCCTTGGGAACCCACCCTGACCAGTCTCCACACCCCTCAGCCAGTCATGCTGCGTTAAGACTGTCCGCATAGCCATCTCTTTCCCACCTACTCGGAGCTCTCTGAAGGCAGGGGAAGCTTTTATCTGCGATGCAGCAGCTGGGCTATTGGATGAGAGCCGCAGAAGAAGATGTATTCAGTGACGTAAGAGGCTTTTCCCCCGAGGCGAGGGACCCACCAAGGTGAATGATCCACTTTCCCCACTGAGTAGAAAGGATAAGCAGCCAGGGTGGGGACTCAGCGCTTCTTACGGTCCCAGGACAGTTGTCGAAGCTTTAGAAACTTGGATTTTAGTGGAAATAGAATTGCGAGGCCCCGGCATCGCATCCTCGGAAGGATGGCAGGCAAAGAGTGGAAAGTCCTTTCCTGGCCGGGGCTCAGCTCCTGGCCAAGGGGCCCCCTGGCCAGTCATTTCTATTTGAAGTAGGCCTGCCATGCACCATGAGACGCTCAAATTTGGGTGAATATTCTGGAACAATCAGAGTGCTTTCAAAATGACTCTGGAATGTTTATTTCCTTTTGTAGTAATGAACCCAGGCTTCAGCAACAATTAACATCCAGCTCCTAGGAGCCAGACGCTTAGGAAAGGCTGCTGTTTTCATAGGGTTTCAATGTGGAGAGCTTACGCACACTGATTCCTATCTATGCCTTCCTGGGCTATGATAAGAAATAGTTCATTATGTAGATGGGTGGTGTTGATTTTTGTAGCCTTTTGCTTTTTACAGTTCCAAACTGCAGAGTAGTGAGAGTGAATCAGGTGACCCGGCTTAGATGATAAACAGAGAATGCCTCTCTTTCTCCATGGATAACAGTGAGCATATTTGTGGCTACTGGACGGCTCTGGGGCTCTGAGACCAAGCAACCCGCTGGGCCAGTGAGCAGGCTGGACTCCTGTGCCCGCAGCTCTGGGTTCCAGTTCCCTGGAGGAAGGTGGAACAGCATTCTTTTGTTTACTTGGGGTATTTGTTCACTGACTAACTTGGTTTGAGGCTAATTCCCTTTTCAGATACACCAGACCAGGGAAAAACAGAAACAAACAAAAAACACTTCCGCAGAAATTCAAGGACCTGGCCAAGAACAGAGTGTCTCCACTGCAGACTCTGGGCTCCCCAACCAAGCCCTGTTTCCTAGGCGAGGCCTTACCTGCTGGGAAGTGCTCAGAGCCACAGATCTTATCACCACCTTGCTTCTTTCCTGGTTCTTTCTACTCATCACACTAGCTCTGGAGCAGCAGTGGCCTGCAAGGCTCACTCTGGCTCCAGTTAAAATGGGAAACTCCTTGTCCTGTGCAGGAAGGGACCCGGGTGTGGGCCTCTGGGGGTGCATGGGACACCTGCCCCACTCCACCCTGTCCCTCTGCTTCTCTCAGGGTGTTTTGTTTGCACACGGAAGCTCCTGGGTGGATAGCCCGCTCCTAAGAGACTGACTTCTGTTCCTGGGCCGCATCTCATTTTGGTATCTCAAATTAGAGAGAAAAGTTGCTGTTCTACCCTCCAGACTGGGTCCCCTCTCCTCTTTGCTACCTGGATGGTGTCTTGTAGCCCTTAGCCTTTGAGACAGACCCCTAGAGAGATGCAAGCTGCCCAGTTAGGCAGGTGGGTTAGTGAGAGCCCTGGAGAGCCAAGGAGCCAGCAGGCAGGAGGGAATGACTGGGAAACACTGTTTAAAGAAAACAGCACCGGCCGGCTGGGCACGGTGCCTCAAGACTATTATCCCAGCACTTTGGGAGGCTGAGGTGGGCAGATCACGAGGTCAAGAGATCAAGACCATCTTGGCCAACATGGTGAAACCCCATCTCTAGTAAAAATACAAAAAAAAAAAAAAAAAAAAAATTAGCTGGGTGTGGTGGCATGTGCCTGTAGTCCCAGCTACCCGGGAGGCTGAGGCAGGAGAATCACTTGAACCCGGGAGGTGGAGGTTGCAATGAGCCGAGATGACACCACTGCACTCCAGCCTGGCATCTGGCGACAGAGCAAGACTGTCTCAAAAAAAAAAACAGAAAGAAAGAAAACAGCACCATGTGTGGTGGCTCACGCCTGTAATCCTAGCACTTTGGGACCTGAGGTGGGTGGATCACAAGGTCAGGAGTTCGAGACCAGCCTGGCCAATATGGTGAAACCCCATCTCTACTAAAAATACAAAAATTAGCTGGGCGTGGTGGCACATGCCTGTAGTCCCAGCTACTCAGGAGGCTGAGGCAGAGGTTGCAGTGAGCCAGGATCATGCTGCTGCACTCCAGCCTGGGCAGCAGAGCAAGATTGCGTCTCAAAAAAAAAAAGAAAAGAAAACAGCACCATGGGATTGTCATGTGCATGACATGGTCAGCTGGGTTCTCTGGTGGTCACTCCCTTCCACAAAGGCAAGGCCTTTGGGTCATTAAAGGCCAGGTGGCAGTTATTTTTTCAGTATTCTAAATGACATCGTAGGGGCTGTGAGAGAGCTACAGCTCCCAAGGGAGCTCCTTCTCCTTGCCCCAGTGGGCAGCATGACCCTCTTCCAACTGTCAATTACACAAGCATACTTCCCCAGCCATCTTTGCACAATGCCATTTATTCATTGTATCATATATCTAATCAGCCTTTACACCCTAACCTAAGACCCACATGAGGTGCGTGCCCTTCACCCTTCTCTCTTCATCAGCCTACTAGGGGCTTGTGAGTTGGAGGGACTCCAAGTCAACCTTCACATTTACATTCTGCCCTACATCTGCGTTCCTCTGTCCTCCATTCTCGGGTTATATCCGTGCATACTAGAGAGGCAGGGTAACATGTGGACGTCAGCACGGATGTGTGTGGCGTTGGGCAGTGAGCACCACTGCTCTGGCCCCAACCTCTTCTCCATGAGAAGGCACAGTAGTATTCAATAAATAACAACTATGGGCTGGGCGCGGTGGATCACGCCTGTATCCCAGCAGTTTGGGAGGCCGAGGCAGGCGATCACAAGGTCAAGAGATCGAGACCATCCTGGCCAACATGGTGAAACCCTGCATCTACTAAAAAATACAAAAATTAGCTGGGCGTGGTGGCACATGCCTGTAGTCCCAGCTACTTGGGAAGCTGAGGCAGGAGAATTGCTTGAACCCGGGAGGCAGAGGTTGCAGTGAGCCAAGATTACACCATTGCACTCCAGCTTGGCGACAGAGCAAGACTCCATCTCAAAAAAAAAAAAAAAAAAAATATATATATATATATATCAACTATGTTTTTAAGTCACTTAAGGAAGATCCCAGGGGTTCTGGCTAGGGAGTCGGGCCTTAACGGTAGTTCTTTAAGGAGCTGCACAGCAGTTCATGGGTACTGTGAGTGTGCATTTGGTCTAATTATTAATAGTGCCTCTGTTCACTCTCAACAGTGCCCCAGTTAGGATGAGAAAATACCTCATCACCATTATGCATGAGGAGCCTTGGAACATGGTCAGAACTGTTTTACTAATACAAATTTGCAGAGGCCTTTAAAGCAAGCCTCTTGCCCCTTTCTTATTGAATGCTGGCCTCTGCTAGATGCTGCAGATAACAAAAGATAAAAGATGTCTTGCTGTTCCATGTGGACAGGAGCTGGCTATTTAAAGTGCAGTGGAGGACCCAAATAAGTACCTCTTCATGAGCAGGGAAGAGATCAAAGGTGACAGCCACTGCTCTGGATGACGAATATAGAATTATCCTCAGGTCCACCATATAGCATGCCTGCAGAGATAAGCCATGGTGACCAGTCACATCAAGACACGCAGTCTTATGCCTAGAGAACTGACTTGCCAGGTTTGTAATATTAACTTAATAATGGGTTGCCTGCTGCTGGTAGAGTGGTGTTTTGGCGGCTGGAGAGCACTGCCTTCCAGTGAAGAGCTGTCCCATGCCCTGCCAACTGTCCAAAACAAATGACAGCAAATCCGACATCTCCATGCAGACACAGTTCCACACCTCACTTTAAAACGCTTATAGATGGGGCCAAAAGCAGTCACCACAGTGGCCCAGCAGAGCCGGCGCAGTATGCCCTGTAGGACACGGGCAGAGCCAGGGGCTGCGCCGAGCCGCCTACGCGGGCAGCCGACTCAGCTGTCATCCCCAGGTTAATGACCGAACGCCCGCCCCCAAGGCTCAGCTCAGAGGGCGGCCTGGGGACAACGGTCCCCTCCCTGTAAGGGCACGGCGCCCAGCAGTGGGCAGCGGCCAGAGGACCCGAGTTCCAGCAAGCGCGCACCCGCCGTGGGAGGCACAGCAGTTCGGCGGCTCCCTCCCCAGGCAGAGACGGGATTTACCCTACAGACCCGATCCAGGCTCCCCGGCCCCACTCACCGGCTCGCTGGGCAGAGGCCCGCGCACAGTCGCGCCGGACGGGCAGCTCCGGCTGGAAAAGGCTGCAAGGGCTCACGGTGCGCACGCCGCCCGGGCCCTGTGTACACACGTGACCGCTTGCCCCGCCCACCCCAACCTGGCTCCGCCCTCGCCCCGCTTCCGCCCCTCCGGCCTAGGTTCCGCCCCCCACCCGCGCGGCCCAGGCAGCGGAGAAGCCTCCGACCAGTGCGGTTGGGGGGCGGTGGCGGCGGAGGCGGTGCTGGTTGTGTAACCTGAGACCAGCCATTTGACAAGCTCGTGCGCCTGAGCTTCCCTGTGGGAGGATGCACACCCAACGCTCTGAGTGTTTGAGAATTCTGGTAGTGCCCAATCCGGTTTGTTTTTACAGGCGCTCGTGCCTAGTTTGCTGAGTCAGAATAGACCCTAATCTGCAGGGTGCAGGCCCTGCCACCCTCCAGAGCAAGGCAGTGGCTGCCATCTAGGCCTCACGGGTACTCCTGCCCCCATCTTCCCCGAAGTTTGCTTGCTGCTTCCAAATTCAATTACTTCCTGGTTTTAGGAATTTCTTTGTAAACGGAACACTCACAGGAAAGCCATTTAAAGAAACATTGTTTCCTGCCTGATTACTTTGGTAGCTATTGTTAACAAATTAAACACTGGAAAAATTGAAACAAGGACATTGACTCTGCTGTAATTTTTGAGGTGAAATGCCCCCTCCACCGCCACACATACACACACACACACACACACACACACACACATTCTGGTTCAGGATCTAAGAACGTTTCTGGAAATCGAAGCATGTGGGTTGCACAGCTCAGCATAGACTTGGGTGACGCCGAGGGCTGAGTGGGACATCAGCAGAACTGCAGCCACTGCTGACCCTCCCTGAAAGATGCTGTGGCCCACTGTGTTCACGGCTGCACTTCATCCACCTGCCTGGACAGGATGGCTTCCTGACCGGGAGCTGGATGTCGGAGGCAGCTTTCTATTATGGTGGGAGAGCAGGGAGAGCCTCACTCTATCTTGGTCATGAGTTGACAGACCCTTTTGGGCCCACCACCGTCCACACCTGCTGACATGACACTGACTTGCTGCCCAGCATGGCACCAGGTCTCTGTGCTCAAAGTCTGCCAAAGTCAGTCATGATCAGCCAGCACCTACACCTGAGGGCGTATTCTGTGTCAAGTTCTGTTCTAGGCCTCAACCGTCATTTTGAGGTACATACGTCCCTATTTCATCGAACTTAAGACATGATTAGTGCTAGATAGGCCATTACTTGATGGATTTCTAAAAAGGCCATCTGCTGGTTACATGCTGACACAGTGCTGATTTTAAGGCGCAGCCTGTTAGAGATGATAAAATGAGAGCGTGCTCCTGCATCAATGAGATAGATTGCCATGTGCATTTCACATTTTATTGTGAAAAGGTAAGCAACTTGCCCCAGGTCACACCACAGGCCTTGGAGCCAGGATTTGCACCGAGGAGTACTCTGGCTTTTTAGATCAGGGTTTGGGACTTTGGGTCTTCCTAGCACCTTGCCTAAAAGTAAGCTTTGTTATCTCCATAGTATAAATGGTCCAAGACCTCAGAATCCCTGGTCAGAGTCTGCCAGGACCCTGTCGGGTCCCTGCCAGGTTCCGTGGTTGCTCTGGCCAGGGAGTGCTAGAGGTTGGCTTCCTCTAAGCTACTGAGCTCTCAGGTCACCGCAGATTGCCTTATCTGTAGGGACTTCCCAACCAAGCAGGCCAGCCTCATCAGGGAGAAGCAGAAAGCTCATGTGTGCCCTGGGAAGATCATCAGAGAGCCACCCTCCACCTGAACCACAATAAGTTCTCCTAGCTGGGGGTGCAAATGCCTTCCAGAGGCTGCAGCTGTGTACCCAAGGGTCCCGGCCAGCCCCTGTACAAGACTTGGTTGATGGGGGGAGAGATGGGAGGCACAGATAGGGGTGTAGGAGGTGTGTGGCCCTGACTCAGCATCCCGGCTGCATCCTAGTCTAGTGTTGATGTTTGAAGTCATGTGGATGTGGCATCCCCTGCGTGACTGGTGAGGGCATTTGAGGGCAGTGGTGTGGTCCTGGCCTACGGCTTTGCTTTTGTGGCTGTGTGTGCCGTGTGTGGTGTGTGTGTGTGTGTGTGTGTGTTTTGGGGGAGATGGGTGCCCTAGTTATGCACCACACTCTGCAGCCCACCATGCTGCCGAGGCTCCTGTGATGCAGCTGGGGTCTTATGGAGACGTTGGGACCACCCTTCCCCTGCCACGTTCAGGCGCTGGGCAGCTTTCTTGGTTATCGTGAGTGGCGGTCGGGAAGGTCAGCTGCACCCCACCCAGGGATCCAGGGCTGCTGGTCAAGAGCTGGAGAGATATCACCTGGCCTGGGTCTGTTTGCATTTGGGCTTTCCCAGGGTGGGCGGGGGTGGTGGGAAAGGCAAACTGGCATTTCCCTTGGAGGTGTACCTTCTCTAGTGATTGTGTTTGCGGGGTGAGTCTGATCCTGTGTGCCACACTGATCAAGGACAAGGAATTGTTATTATTATTATTATTGAGATGGAATCTAGCTCTGTCACCCACGCTGGAGTGCAGTGGCTCAATCTTGGCTCACTGCAACCCTGGCCTCCCGGGTTCAAGCGATTCTCCTGTCTCAGGCTCCCAAGTAGCTGGGACTACAGGTGCCTGCCACCATGCAGGCTAATTTTTATATTTTTAGTAGAGACAAGGTTTCACCATATTGGCCAGGCTGGCCTCAAACTCCTGACCTTGTGATCCACCTGCCTTGGCCTCCCAAAGTGCTGGGATTACAGGCGTGAGCCACTACAGGCGTGAGCCACTGCACCCAGCCGACAAGGAATATTTTACAGTTAACTTCCTAGTTCTTGTGAATGTGGCTTGTGACCTTGTTTGTGGTCTGTTGATTATAAGGCATACCCTGACATTAGAGATGATAAAATGAGAGAGTGAGACTTAGCATAAGTGAGTCTACACTCTGTGAACATATTAATAAAACTTGGTGTTGTTCGGAGCCCCAGAAATGTCAGTAAGGAATTGTGGATGGCCTGAACAGAACCCAAGTCTTCTTCCCTGGAGTGTGGCCACCACCTTGTGCAGGGGCCTCCCTCCCTCCCCTGCAGTCTCTCCAGTCCTTCCCAAATTCCATCCACCCGGCTTCCTGCCTGGGCCTTTTCCACATTCTGTAGAAGCAGCTGTTCCCACAAGGAATGTGGGAGATGCCCAGGATGGGTCTTAAGTGTACGGCCCAGCGTTCCGACTTCAGGTTGACCCCGAATGGCACTGTCAGCTGGGGACCTGGCAAGCAGCAGCCACTCACATACAGAGCACGGTTGCAGCTGGCACATCTGCCATTGCTCATCCTCTCAGCCCTGCTCTGAGCTGCGTCTTCTCGATGTTTATGTGTTCCAGACGAAAGACTTTTGTGTGTGTGTGGTTTGTAAATATTTTGTCTTCGTCCATAGCTTATCTTTTTACATCCTCTTAATGAGGGTTTTGCAGAGAAAAGTTTTTTTTTCTTTTTAATTTTGGTAAAGTCTGATTTATCGATTTTTTATTTTCCTTTTTCATTTTAAGGATCTGCTTTTGGTTTCATGGCTAAGAATTCTTCAATGACTCCCAGGTCCCAAAGATTTTCTCCTACGTTTTCTTATTAAAGCTTTATAGTTTTACATTTGATGTTTGAATGGATGATCCATTTGAGTTCATTGTGAGGTTTAGGTTATTTTGTTTTGCAGGATGGAGTGCACTGGTGCAATCATAGCTCTCTGTAGCCTTAAACTCCCACGCTCAAGCAATCCTCACTCCTCAGCTTCCTGGGTAGCTGGGAGTACAGGTGCGTGCCACCATGCTTGTCTAACGTTTAAAGTTTTTTTTGCAGAGATGCAGGTCTCACTATGTTGCCTAGGCTGGTCTCGAACTCCTGGCCTCAAGCAATCCTCCCACCTCAGCCTCCCAACAGCTGGGAATATAAGTGTGTGCCACCATACCCAGCCTGTTTTTTTTTTTAGAGCACTATTAGGTTCACAGCAAAATTGAGCAGATGATAGAGTTTGCATGCACACACCCCGACACACATGCACGGCCTCCCCCATTATCAACACCCTCCACCCCAAGTGGTGCATTTGTTACGATGGTGACCTTCACGGGCACACCATGATCACCCAAAGTCTGCAGTTTACAAGAGGGTCCCTCTTGGTGCAGCACGTCCTGTGGGTTTTGATAAATGAATATCCCCTGTGCACCCACTGTTTTGCTGCCCCAAGAGGGCCCTGTGTGCCGTCCATTCATCAGTCCCTCCTGACCACACTGACCACTACTGACCCCCTTCCTGTCTCCATGTGGCTATGTGTTGCAGAATGTCAGGCGGTGGGATCCCACAGTGTGCAGCCTGTTCAGCCAGTGCCTTTCACTTAGCAGTTTACTGTTACTTTCTCATGTCTTTTCATGGCATGCCAGAACCTTTCTTTTTAGTGCTGAGTAATATACCAGTGTCTGGACAGACTACAGTTATCCACTCACCTACTGAACGGCATCCTGGTCGCTTCTAGTCTGTGGCAGTTATCAATAAAGCTGCTCGAAATATCTGTGTGCAGGTTTTTGTGTGAACCTAAGTTTTCAGCTCATGTGTAAATGCCAAAGGGCACATTTGCTGAATCCTGTGGCAGGATTTTGCCTACTTTTGTAAGAAGCCACCAACTGACTTCCAAAGTGGCTGCGCCATTTTGCTGTGGTGAGTGAGTTCCTGTTGCTCCATATCCTCACCTGTGTTTGGTGATGTCAGTGTCTGGATTTGGGCCATTGTGACAGGTGTGTGGTGCCACCTCACTGCTGTTTTCATTGACACTCCCTTGCATCGAAGGATGTGCCATTCTGGTCCTCATGCCTATTTGCCATCTGTAAATCTTCTTTGGTTCAAGGTTTATTGTTTTTCTGTAGATGTCCCATTGTTCCAGCACCATTTGTTGAAAAGATTTCTGTCTCCATGGAATTGCCTTTACAAACTTTGTCAGAAATCAGATTGTTCCATTACTGGGCTTATACCCAGAGGAATAAAAATCACTCTGCCATAAAGATACAAGACACAT